GATAAACTGATTAGACAGTTTTATTTAAACCAATTAATGATTAGACTACATAATAATAAAATTTCCAAAAATAATGTTGGCAAAGAAGAAGGTTTTCGCTGGCCTGACCTCTTGGAAAAGACAGAAACTTCTTTATCAAGTCAGGATCCTCTCATTGAATATAATGTGGGAACCAAACAGATACCCAAGATGGTCAGGGTAAGTGGTTTATTGACAAAAAACCAACAGAAGCGAATGGTAGCGTTAATTCGAGATCATAAGGAATGTCTACCATGGGATTATTCTGAAATGCCCGGATTGGCGCGCAGTTTAATAGAACATAGGTTGCCTATAAAAAGGGGTTTAAACCTTATAAGCAACCACCAAGGAGAGTGAGTCCAGAATGGATGCCCCAGATCAAAGAAGAAATAGAGAAGTTATTGAAGGTTACTTTCATTCGTCCATGTCGATATACAGAATGGTTAGCCAATATTGTTCCGGTAACCAAGAAAAATGGAAAGATCCGAATCTGCATTGATTTCAGAGATGTCAAGCTAGCCACTCCAAACGATGAATATGTCATGCCTATAGCAGACATGTTAATCGATTCTGCAGCAGGGCATCGAATTTTATTTAATGGATGGATATGCAGGGTATAATCAAATTTCATGGAAGAATCGGTTCTTTATACGGAGTATGTACCACCGATTTCTCGGACAACTATGGTAGATGAGTATCCCTGGAAGGGCTGTAAGCTCACTACGCTGGGTTGTGTGTTTCATTAGAAACAATCTTTTGTATTATGGCTCTGTTGTTAGCCAAAATAAACTTTTATTTGAAGTTTAATTTATGGAAAAAATAAATAAATGTGATAAACTGATTAGACAGTTTTATTTAAACCAATTAATGATTAGACTACATAATAATAAAATTTCCAAAAATAATGTTGGCAAAGAAGAAGGTTTTCGCTGGCCTGACCTCTTGGAAAAGACAGAAACTTCTTTATCAAGTCAGGATCCTCTCATTGAATAAAATGTGGGAACCAAATAGATATCCAAGATGGTCAGGGTAAGTGGTTTATTGACAAAAAACCAACAGAAGCGAATGGTAGCGTTAATTCGAGATCATAAGGAATGTCTAGCATGGGATTATTCTGAAATGTCCGGATTGGCGCGCAGTTTAATAGAACATAGGTTGCCTATAAAAAAGGGGTTTAATCCTTATAAGCAACCAACAAGGAGAGTGAGTCCAGAATGGATGCCCCAGATCAAAGAAGAAATAGAGAAGTTATTGAAGGTTACTTTCATTCGTCCATGTCGATATACAGAATGGTTAACCAATATTGTTCCGGTAACCAAGAAAAATGGAAAGATCCGAATCTGCATTGATTCCAGAGATGTCAAGCTAGCCACTCCAAACGATGAATATGTCATGCCTATAGCAGACATGTTAATCGATTCTGCAGCAGGGCATCGAATTTTAAGTTTAATGGATGGATATGCAGTGTATAATCAAATTTCATTGGCAGAAGAAGATATACCTAAAACCGCGTTTAGATGCCCAGGAGTGTTGGGAATCTATGAGTGGACGGTTATGCCATTCGGGTTAAAGAATGCTGGAGCAACTTACCAACGGGCTATGAACACCATCTTTCATGATCTGATTGGGCGGTCAATGGAGGTTTATATTGATGACGTGATTATTAAGTCCACCGACTTTGATACACATTTGGTTGATTTAAAAAATGCTTTTATTCGGATGAAGCAGTACAACCTGAAAATGAACCCAACGAAATGTGCCTTTGGAGTTTCGGCAGGAAATTTCTTAGGGTTTTTAGTACATGAAAAAGGGATAGAAATTGATGCGAACAAAGCCAAAGTTGTTTTAACAATGCGGTCGCCTCAGTCGGTCAAAGAAGTACAAAGTTTTTTGGGAAAGGTGACTTACCTAAGGCGTTTTATATCAAACACCGCAGGAAAATAAAAACCTATCACAAAATTGTTACAGAATAAGGCCACTGATTTTTCTTGGGGTCAAGAGCAACAGAAGGCATTGGAAGAAATCAAGGAAGCATTGATTAATCCGCCTGTGTTGGTTCCTCCAAGAGGCGACCGACCTCTTCGGCTATATTTGGCGAACAGTTTTGATGTTGTAAGCAGTCTTTTGGTGCAAGAATGGGAAGATGGTAAGGAAAGGGCCATTTATTATCTAAGTAAGACTTTGGCAGGACCAGAGTTAAATTATAGTATGCCCGAAAAAATGTGCTATTCTCTAGTCTTTGCTTGCACTCGGTTGGAACATTATATTCTGCCAAGAGAGACCGAAGTGGTTTCTAAAATGGATTTGGTCAGACTAATTCTGCACAGACCAACCATGCAAGGAAGATTAGTGAAGTGGGCCATTAAGTTGGCTCCTTTTGCATTGCGGCACCGACCTCTCAAAGCTGTAAAAGGGCAGGTTGTGGCTGATATGTTGGCAGAATTTATAAGTGATAGGTCATCAGAAAACAGAATAATGCCCTACATATTTTTTGATGGTTCCCGTTCGAAAGGAAAGTCAGGAGCGGGGGTAATATTAGAAGGACCAGGAGGCGGCAAAATTAATTTTCAGCTTCAAATGGAAGAGATGACACATAACTCCGCAGAATATGAAGCATTGATTTTGGGTTTGGAAGCACTTATCGCTAAGGGAGTGCAGTCTGTTTTAATCTATGGGGATTCTCAACTTGTTATTAACCAAGTGTTGAAACGGTACGTTTGTAATTTTCTCATTTGCGTAGATACCGAGATGTAGTAATCCATCTGTTACATAGAATTGCGGAGGTAGTTTTTGAGCATGTACCAAGAACAGAGAATCGGTTGGCTGATAATTTGGCTCAGAGTACTTGTCAGCAGATGATTGGTAGTGTTGATTCTGAGAATGATTGGAGAACAGAAATCATGGTGTATTTGGAATTCCCAAATTCCACCACTCATGTTCGTATTCGGTTAAAGGCTTTACGTTTCCAAATTATTGATGGGGTTTGTATAAAAGAACCTTTGAAGGGGTTTTGTTGACATCAAATCCAAGAAAATTGCTTTTGAGGATCACCACTTTTATTTTCCAATCTTTTATTTTATTTTCCCTATTTTATTTTATGTATTCTACAGTGTTTAGAGATCTCTAATCTCAGACACTCATCTATCAAATTCGGGGATATTTCTTTATTTTCGGATTTTACTTTTTATTGTTGAAAAAATACATCAACAATTATCATTATTTTTTATTTTGTAAAGTTTTTTGGGTTTAAATCTTTAAGATCTAAAGGATCCGATTGGATCGAACCTGTTTTTGGCCTGTTCGGTTCTTTTCCTTTAGATTTGTTCAAAATCGGCCCCGTGTGCTTCGATCCGTGCTAATATAGCCATGGTCGAACTATTAATGTGTGATTTGGGCTTAATCGCTACTATTTAGATCGGTTAAGTTTGAGTCCATTTTCGGCTAGAATTGTTCAAAATCATTTCGATTTGGTGAAAATTGATTTTGTCCGTTATTAGTTTAAGAAAATAAACCGTAAAACTTGTTGTTTCGCCTTATTTTCGTTTATATTTGTGCTTGTTGGGTTAAAATCTAAAAGTTTTTGTTAAAACTGTTTAAGATCTTTAAAATCGTAACTATTTTTGGTTAAAATCTTTAAAACCAAAACTGTTTTTCAAGAATTTTGTTAAATCTGCATTTTTGTGGCTTGTATCTATTCTTTCTGTGTTGTCATCCCCTATATGTGTATTTTGGTGACTCTAACTTTTGTTAGATGAGAAACATTGTTTTTGTTTTTGTTGTTATTTGTTGTAACCCCTATTCTTGAAAAAGAATGTTATTTGTATATTTCCTTATATTGTTGTGGAAAATATATTGCTGTTGTACTTCGAGAGTAAACTCTATAACCTTAACTATTATATTATTACTGTTATTTTTCTTAATTTAATGTCTGCATTTAAATTCCGTTCAATCGACTGTAAAGACTATTGTGATACCAAGGTTGAAAAACTCCAATCCTCACTCTTGTGAGTGATTCTCGAGTACCTTTGGTGGAATAGTCGCAAGTGAATGTTGTAATAAATAGGTTGTATGTTTGTTATTATTTGCCTGTGATTGCAATATTATGTGATATATTTGTTGATGTGTTTGTCTTCGGTGAATTGTTGTTGATGTGTTGTGACTTGAGTGTTTGTTTGATTCTCAATGTGTTTTAAAATCAGTATGTATTTTTAATAAACGGAATGTAACAATAAATTGCATTTTAAAAAAGAAAATATTTTTGCCAAACAATTTGTATTTTTTCGACATTGTTCTTTGAAGTAACTATTTTTGAAAAATTGATAATCATAGTTGGACAAACATTTTTTAATATCCAACATTTTGATGGAAAAATTGATTTTGCTATTTGGAAACAAAAAAATGAGAAGTATGCTTGTTACTCAAAAATTAATTAAGGTTGTGAAGCCGGATCAAACAGTTACAGTCCCTTTCGAAAAGATGGCTGAGTTGAATGAAATGCTTTCATCTTGCATAATAATTCTAAATTTAGCTGATGATGTAATTCGTAAGGTTGGTAGGCAAGAATCTATTGTGGCGTTGTAGAATAAATTGGATGAGCTATATACTTAAACTTCTTTACCTAGTAGGTTTTATTTGTTAGAAAAATTCTCTACTTTTAAACTTGATCAATCTAAAACTATTGATAAAATTCTTGATATTTTTCAAAAATTAATTCAAGATATTAAATGGTAAGAATATATATGATTATAGTGCTATAATTCTTTTGAATGCTATTCTAACTATATATTATGATGTAAAATCAACAATTAAATAGGAGCGTGATTTTGTAACTTTAAATGTGGTTATAAATGATTTGAAAAGTAAAGAATTAACTTTAAATGTGGTTATAAATGATTTGAAAAGTAAAGAATTAGATTTGAATGTAAATTTAGGACATATATTACGACATTGGGTTGCGGTGCATAAATTTGCCAATGGTAAGGATCAACAAACTCAAATTTAGAACGTATAAAGGTTGCATTGTTTTTGCTGAATATTTCAATAAAAAAATCATACAAGAGATCACCACTACATAAATGAGAGAATTCGAATAGAGGAAATTGAAGAATGATCCTCTACAGAAAGGTTATGAAAACATACATACATTCTCTTCGTGATTGAACTAGAACTAGAACGCTATGTGTATGTATCCAATGTTCGTCTCTAGCTAGGTTCATATATCAAAATTTTCTCAATCGAACATGAATGTAGCAAGTGTGTGCTTTTGTTACTTAGAACTGCAGTCCCTCCTCAACAGAGATATCATCGATCAGCCTCAACTGATATTAAAGCAAAACAAACAACCGGAGTGATAGAGAAGGAGTGCTATGTACAAATAATGCCAGCTAAGTTCTAACTCGAATTAATATAGATGAAAGATAGCACGCGCTTTAAGGTGAAGAACCAAACAAGAAACTCACCAGTAAAATGCACGGATTAGAGAGAGCCGAGTACATGGATGAAAAGAGAAATCAGGGGTGCGTGAGTAATTCGGCATAAATTGGGATGGGAGGTGGCCGCAGAAGAATCCACAAATTGGTTGTTTGTGAGTAGGCCTACAAAATATTCGGAAGTTGAGAATCCAATCTCTCATGCAGTTCTTTAATCTTCATTGATAGTTCTATTCTTTGCTCTTTGTAGCTCCGAAGCAAATAATCTTTTCCGTCAATCAATTCCTTAAGTTCATTAATTTCCCCTTTCAACATCTCCATCTTTTCTGCATCTCCGCTTCCATTTTCCAAAGACTCAAAACTGGCTTCAGCTTGACGATAACCATTGTGACCGTTTGGAACAGCCCCAATATCTTCGTCTGAGTTAACATGCCCTGCACAATGGTCTGCAATTCCCTTTCTCAACAGCTGAGCTTCTCTTTCCGAATCGAACAGATCCCTATTGGCAGCATCGAGCAGAGCTTGAAGATGAGAATTATGTGCAAGCTGACTGTTGAGAGAATTCTGAAGCTCAGCAATCCGGTCCTGCATATCCAGGATCATATCATCCCTCCTCTTCAACTGATGCCTCAGCTTTTGTATAACTTCTCGCTTGCTGAGAATGTCAGAGCCGGATTCAGAAGGTGAGTCAGAGCCATTTGAGTGGTGGAATGGCTTGTGGTGGAGCCCGACATGATTGGGAGAAGAAGGCCATCCAGCTCCGCTATCTTTGTTCGACTCTGGAGTAGGAACGGTTACAAGAGCCATTTCAGGCTCTCTCAGCATTTGCCCCCTGCATTGCTGCTCCACTTCTTCCACACTCTGGGATCCTGTTTCGGCACATATGTTAATGCATAATCACATAGAATTCAAAATGGTTGTACGGCGTGTACTTGAAAAAGTTACAAAGCAGAGCAATGTCGAAAACAGCACAGCTACAAGGTTTCAAGAAAATAAATTAGACTTGCTTATGGTTTCAAGCACCTCTATTTTACATTTAAAATATATTATATAAAAAAAAGAATCAAATTTCCATTCAAAACACGACATCAAATACTTATTTATGTCACATCAAACTCAATTTCAATTGAAATTTGATATATTCATAACTCCAAACCCAAACCCAATCCCAAGTCTTAACCCTCAAACAAACAAACCCGATATATCCACAAATATTGCAGTTCCCCACTTTACACTCCCTCCCTACAAAGCATCAAACATAAATCACTATCAAGATATATATTCGATAACAAGTAGGTAGTCTACCCAACTAATTAACATACAGAAGCAGTACCATTGCAACACCTGCAGCAATTGTCCCCTTTGTGGGAAAAACTAAAATCCTTTGAATACGAATGGAAGCTTCCATGCTTCTTGAAATCATCACATTTCCCATCTGCTTTAGAAATTAACTTTTAGATGATACAGAATTACTTCACAGATGCACAAGAATATGCACCACATACCTTTTGAAAGTTTGCTACTATCCTCCGATTGTTTAGCATCGCGGAGCTGCTTAAGCTTATAACCCAAGCGCATAGACAATGCGCTAAGCAATACCCCTCCAGCCATTGGAATCCAGTTTGGTACTCTCTCCCCTGAATATCTTGACCTTCTATATGCTTCACGAGCTCTTGGCTTCATTGTTAAAGTTGTGAAATAGAAGGTTGAGCTTCTGAGATATGCCAGAGATCTGCATTTGAACTACATATCAATAAATGTTTAAGCATTTTAAAAGATAGTTTCAATCCAAATTGTCTGCCTAAAACGGAATATGCCATTTCTACTGGAATTGTCACAACGGATTACTGAATTGAGATTTCTACACAGGAAAAAATGGCCAACAGAAGTTGGCCACATGATCGTAAAGATCGCCATGGCAACTTGATCACTTCCTAAAAACATATATTTCGAAATTAAACAAAGGAATTTGCAATAAATCTTGAGGAAGATGAACAGTTCCTAACCCGCTCACCGTAGCTTGAAAGATTCAGTGTTTTAGTTCTACATTTCTTCTATTAGTTCCTCTCATGGTATCCAAAAAAACAATCTTCAAATAATTATGTAAATTGTTAGTGAGTTATGGGAGAGAGAGAGTATGCTATTGAGAGAGTGACAAAGAGAGCTTCGATTGTACCTAGGGTTTACACGAAAATCCGTAGATTACAATTGGGTCAGAGGAAAACCGTCTCGAATGCATCTCTTCCTTCGATCAACGTCAATAATCGGAGGAGCCTTCCCCAGCTGCAGCGACTCCGTGGCCGGCCGGCGGGTAATTAGGTGCCGCCGACCAATCGACGGTCTGTATATATGTATATATGCTGTGTGTAATGTTTGCCGTTTGAAATTCATTGGCAAACCTAATTCATTTCTACATACATTCATAATTTGATGAATTTGGTGTGATGGGGTTTATTATTTTATATAATTATTGTGAAAAAATTAACATAGTTTTATAAGAATATAGGCCAAAAATAAAAATAAAATTATGAGTTTAGGACGAATAAAAATAGTAAAATAATAATATTATTTATTAACGAAAAAAAAAAAAGTATATCTTACAAGACAGATAAAGAAGTTTTTAATAAATTAATTATTTGAATTAATTTAATATAAAATATTTTAAAAAATTATCATAAAATATAATATTTCATCAATTTTATATGTATATATATGTGTTCATTTTTTATTAAAAATTATGAATATTAATATGATGATGATTTTTATTGTAATAATATACAAATTGTAAGAATTTTTTAAAATTATATAGTAAAAACGATTATTAAAAATAAAATAAATTAATTAATTTTGGATAGAATGAAATGACAAAATACATATATTAATTTGAAATATTAAAGATATAATATAAATATAATTGTACTTATTAGGCCAACAGGGTAACTCATTTTCAACCTGCAGATTGACTCGTCTAGGCCCGTAATTTAAATAGCCTAAAACATTAAAACTCAACCATCTTTAAAAGTGGGGCGAGGTGAGCCAACCCGACGGGTTTAACCTATTTTGACAGCTCTAGTATATCTTCTCGAATGTACCTTTGGGAAATTTGTAGTATATTAATAAATAATATTATTTTATTAGTTATTTGTTGTAAATATTAATATTAGAATAATAAATAGAAATAATAATTATCCTTATCCTAATAAGTCGTGTCGAGAATTATTCGGATAAAATAGACCAAGATCACTTGTCCCTTGGAGATAGCGCAAAACATGCTTAATCCCATTCCAATGTCGTTTAGTAGAAGATAATTAAATCTGACAAATAAATTTACTGCAAATGACCTTGTACTATTTCTTAGGTACATGAGTGCACCTATTGTACTGAGATATGGTACTTCAGGATCAAGCATTAAGTGACTTAACGATCATTGATGTACTCAATGAATGTATTTTATTCATATAAAATCGCTTCAATACTTTATGGGTATAAACAGTTTGGTGGATGAATATTTCATTATCCACATATTCAATTTGCAGACCAAGATAGAACTTTGTCTTGCCAAAGTCTTTGATCTTAAATTCCCTTTTCAGATATTCCATGGCTGATTGGAGCCGTTTAGACGTCCCGATGATATTGTGATTATCAACATATACTGTAATTATAACGAATTTTGACCCCTTTTTTTTTTTTTTTATGAAAACACATGGACATATTAGGTCATTAGTGTAACCTTCTTTGGTTAGATACTTATTGAGGCGGTTATACCATATGCGTCCAGACTGTTTAAGTCTATACAAAAACTTTTTGCACTTTGATGGAATAACATTATTTGGGATTTGATTTGCATACTTCAGACATGTCATATCTTTCAAGAATTTTCATATAAATATCATTCTCCAGTGAGCTATACAAGTAAGCAGTAACTACATCCATAAGACGCATATCAAGTCTTTCATGCTGCTAAGCTTATAAGGTATTTAAATGTGCTACCATCCATAACTGAGGAATATGTTTCATCATAATTAATCTCAGGTCTTTTTTAGAATCCTTGAGCTACGAGTCTCGTTTTGTATCCGACAATTTCATTGTCTTCATTTTTTTTTCTTAAAAATACCCCTTTGTACCTATTGGCTTAACACCTTATGGTGTTTGAATTATAGGTTCAAATATATTTCTTTTGGCCAATGAGTCTAATTCAGACTAGATCATATCTTCCATTTTGGTCAATCGTTTCTTTCCCGACATTCATCAACTGATGTTGGTTCGGACCCTTGTTATTTTCCATTATATCAAGTGTCACGTTATATGCAAATGCATTATCGATGACTATTTCATTGCGGTTCTAACTTTTCTTTGTAGTGATGAAATTAATTAAATTCTTGATAACTTCATTTTCTTTTAAGGTAGGCTTTTCAGGAGCATCCTCTTCAAGGATTCGTTCCTTGTTACTACAAGTTGTTTGAGGGATTGAATAATTAATCGATGCCCTTTTTCTTTCGGGGATTCTTATCCTTGAAACCTATAGGCCTGCTACGCTTCAGGTACGCAGAAGATTCATTCGCACTTTTCATTTGTCATTCTAGGACATTTATTTTCTCCGGTGCATTTGTTGTAGGAATATAAGACCTGGTAACTCTACTTGAGTCATTAAATACATCCGATAACTGATTTGCAATTTGTTGCAAGTATAAAATTTGTTGTACTTTTAATTCACAATGTTGTGAACAAGGATTCAGGAAATTCATAGGTATTTTCCAAGAAATTTTCTTTTTGAACTGATTTTGTTCTCTCCCTATTGTCTGGAAATTTGTTTCGTCAAAATAGTACGTTGAGGTGATGCAATCGGCACGTAAACTGCGCATTAAAAAAATCCTCAAATGAGAAATATTGCATGTCCCCAAGCAGAAACGGGGATAGAATAAAATATATTGTAATAGTAGAAGAAAGGAATTGTTGTAGGAATATAAGACCTGGTAACTCTACTTGAGTCATTAAATACATCCGATAACTGATTTGCAATTTGTTGCAAGTATAAAATTTGTTGTACTTTTAATTCACAATGTTGTGAACAAGAATTCAGGAAATTCATAGGTATTTTCCAAGAAATTTTCTTTTTGAACTGATTTTGTTCTCTCCCTATTGTCTGGAAATTTGTTTCGTCAAAATAGTACGTTGAGGTGATGCAATCGGCACGTAAACTGCGCATTAAAAAAATCCTCAAATGAGAAATATTGCATGTCCCCAAGCAGAAACGGGGATAGAATAAAATATATTGTAATAGTAGAAGAAAGGAATTGAACCCACAACCAAACAAATACACATTAAGAACTTTACCATCAAGTCATATTATAATTTTTGTTTTATTACAAATATCAAAAAATATATAAATTTATTAAATTTGAATATTAATTTTAAAAAATGGGCTGGGCCAGGCACAGCCCGACCTTCATGAGCCCAGGCACAACTCGGTTCATTAGTGTGCTGGGCCAGGCACGACCCGATAATTTTCGGCCTATTTTTTTAAGCCCAGTCACGGTTTTTTCGTGCCGTGCTCGGGTTGAACTTTCGGACCGTGCTTATTTTTGCCACCCCTAGTCCATATATATCACCCTGATTTCTTTTCAAAAATGATGGAGATTCAGTCCCAACTTTGGTTGGTGACGGCCTGATTATCAATTTACATTGTAAGCATGCAGCACACGCGAATTCATTCGAATTCAAGATCTTTCGATCTTTCAATGAATGAACAATGGAGTTTTCGATAATTCACCTCATTATGGTATTTCCAGGATGCCCAAGACGATCGTGCCAAATCAAAAATTCGTTTGATTGCTTAGACTTCAGGTCTACTCCATATGTTTCAAAGGTAGTTATTTTGGCATAATACCAGCCAGAGGACAATGAGAGCAATTTCGCGATTGCACACTTATCTCCATTGATGATTTTTGTAATTACTAAATATTCATTATTTGCCTCGTTCATTGTTTCAATATGATATCTATTTATACAAATATTAGTGGAAATCAACAAATTTATTCGAGCTTTACTCAAGAACAATGCATTTTGTATTTCAAGTCTGATTCATTCAGAAAAAAAAAATAAGGGCTTTTCCAGATCCTTCAATTTTCGCAATGCCACTTATTGTGCTGAGTTTTGATTTTTTCAACTTCAGGTGGGAGAAATACTTTTTGTATTTCAAAATCTTGTGCGTAGTCACACTATGAATTAGGTATTGTCCTCTTTATAATGTGTATTTTGACACATGACATCCATATTCTTTCCAGAATAAAAAAAAGAAAAAAATATATTAATATAGCGGATGGAATACACAACAATACAAAAAGAGGATATTACAAAAAGTAGAGGGGGTAAAAAAAGTAATAAAGCAGTAAACTACATAATCACTTGGCACCTTCAAGGTGCTCTAGAAAGTCTGTTGTATCAAGATGCATAAGATCGTTGTTTAAGACATCATCATATGTTTCATCTGTTCAACGAGATTTACGTCAACAGATGTGTTCTTCAGGACATAATAGTAAGGATTAGATAAGATTTATATGACACTCACAATGCCACACAACCAAGAGGATCAACCAATTAAGCAATCTAGTCAATCCAAATTTTTACACAATCAAATAATCAATTGCACAATTAGAAATATGGGAATATAAAAAACCACAACTAGAAAAATCAAAAATAGCACACACACGATTTATACATTGAAAACTCTTTCGATATGAAGGATAAAAACCACAGAACCTTTTGAAGAGTCCACCTTGTACTTATTTTATTGATAAAAGTGAAGGAAAAAGAACCCCAAATAAGTCTTCAAAGGATTCACAACCCACAACACTAATCAAGAACAATAAGAGATTTAAAACAACAAGAATTAAGGTGTAGAGGTCACCAAAGACTGTTGTTTGATCAAATGGTTTTTTTGAACCAATCGAAGCTCCACCGGACAATCCAACCGTTAAAAATGAAGCTTTTGATGTCTCGAAGAAGCTGACTAAATTTGAGCAAGATCCAACCATGAGAAGCTCTCCGGTCATCAAGTTGATTGGGACTACGCAATCAAAACTGAAAAACACAGAACTATCGGTTTTCTCTGATTTTCCTACTCTGCTCGGCTGCCCTATTACCATACCCTACAAGAAACAATATTTTCCCCAAAAAAGGCCTAGAAACAAAGCCTACGAAGCCCAACATAGAAGGACCGAACAATAGAAAAATATTGAATAAATGGGCTAGACCCATAACAATCTCCCACTCCAGCCCAACACGGGGAAGATGAACATTTTTCAACCATCACTTAAAGTTCATTCCTGCAAGCTTGACGTAGATATCAAGTTTGCTTCCAGGAACCACTTTGGTTAGCATGTCTGTGCCATTCTTATATGTATGAATC